CCTCATTGAGTTGCTTTGGCAGTTTTGTTGAAAACTGCTGCCACACTGTATTGGTATTATTAAAGTTTATAATAAATATTTACATCAGATTCATTCATTCTACCAATTTAAAAAAAAATGTTTTCACTCTTCTGAAGTTCTTTGCCTATCTATATAAATTTTGGAATCAGCTTGTCAACTTGTGTAGAAAAACATGCTGGTGTTTGTTAGCAGCTGCATTGAATCTCTAAACCAGTTTAAAGAGATTTCAATCTTCCACTCAGTGAGAATGTTCTATTTTTCTTTTTGATTTCTCTCTGCAAATTTTAAGAAAATTTATTTCTTTCATTTGTAGCATACAGCACTTTTACTTCTCAAATTTATTCATAGGTTTAGTTATTCTGTGGTTTTCTTGACTTCATTTTCAGATGGATCATTCCTGAGATATAAAAATTCAGCTGAGTTTTGCGTGTTGGCCTCGGCCTCTGCCTCTCAACTCTCTCATTCTGGAAGGTCACTGGGTTCCTTAGAGTCTCTGAGCATGAGCTCATGCCACCTGCCCTGGGGACACTTGCCTTCCCCCTTCAGCGGCCATGCCTTCACGCCCGTCCTCTCCTCTGTGCTGACACACCCAGTGGTCGGTTGGGTTGAAGAAGGAGAACGGAGATGCTCTGGCCATTGCCAGTCCTGGAAACGCTCTCGGTCTCTCACATATAAGTATAGGGGCTGCAGGTGCCATGGATGTCTGCTGGGTCGTGGGAGTTTTCTGAATCTCTCAAACTCCCAGGAGGCCTTTTAAAGTCCTTGAGTATGGTTCATCACATTGAGGGTATTTGCCTGTGTCAGACCAACCTTGTGTTAAAATGGGTCATGGCATACAGTCCTCCTTCCCTGTCGCTGAGTCTGTTTGCTAATACTATTAAGAACCCTGATCCTGCTCTGAGAGAGACTGGTCTAGAATTACTGCTCATCTTGGGTTCCCATAGCAGGGTAATGCTGGACTCATAATGGGTTCTTTTTCCCGTCTCTCTTAATAGTTTCTGTAGTCAATTTTACTCTCTCTTAAATGTTTAATAGAATTCACCCTAAAGCCACCTGAGTCTGCCTTGTTTTGTCTCAGTGACAAGATGTTAAATCACAAATTCGATTTTGTAATAGTATAATCAGATTTTCTGGTTTTTTTTTTCTGGAGCCCATTTTATAGCTTAATTTTTCAAAGAATTCGCCCAATTCATCTAAATTGTGAATGGGTTGGCATAGTTGTTATGATACACTGAATGTTTTCTTAATGTTGGTGGCATCTGTGGTGACATCCTCTCCTTCATGCCTGATGTGGTCATCTGTGTGATCCTCCTTCTTGGCGCAGCTAGTACCTTAGTTAGTAAGTTATTGAAGTTTTCTTTACAAAAATACAACTTTTGCTTTTATTGATTTTTTTTTTCCTTCTGTTTTCATTGATTTCTTCTCTTATTTTTTCATCTCTGTTTTACCTGGAGTTAGGTTTGCTCCTCTTTATTAGCTTCTTGAGACTAAAAGCTTAGATTATTGACTATACCTTTCTTAGATACCAGTTCTATGAATTTCTAAGAAGTGCATTAACTGCATAGCACATATTTAGATGTTTTCAACTCTACTCAGTTCAAGATATTGTGTTCCCTATCTACCTCCAGTTTACTTTTCTGAAAAGTTTTGAATAATTGTCCTGAAATAAATCTTGGCAGGACTCAAAAAGATGTCTTTTAATTATGTTTTAGTTATGCTTATATAATTTTGATGGCTCTGATCTCTGACTCTGGAGATAAGTAGCTTTTGCATTGGTCCTACTTTTTTCACATGGAATTCAAAGCTCATAATTTATTGATTTAAAATAGCATCACCTTTTTCATGTTTTTGCCAGTAAAACAACAAATTGCAAATGGAAGTCTTGAGATGAATCAAAGTACCTTTTAAGTAGTATCTCAAGTGTTCAAAGTTTGTAAATTTACATATTTTTATTCTAGGCAAAATAATAAACTCTTGAAATATTTGATTCTTCAATACCAGCCTAGAACTTGCAAATAGTATGTCCTCCCTTTATGTGTTCCTGATAGATTTTCCTAACTGAGCATATCACTGCTTCCAATAAGGTCAGGTGCATAATTGCAATCTTTCTTATTCCATTCCAAGTTATTTAACAAACCAATTTTGCCAGTAAGTGTAAGATAGAAAAAGAGTGGGTCAAAATTTCCCTGTTACTTAAACTAATTGAACATTTTTATCTTTATCTTTCAGAATTATTCTCTGAAACTACTATGAAAACATGAATATAGAAAGTTTAAAAAAATTTAAAACATAAACTAATGATCTCATACATTGCATTCATAGCTTCAGTAAAATTGTGGAAATGATAATTTTAAAAATTTGACTGTTTTGAAAATTCATACATCTTAAACACAGTGTTTATCCAGAATTAGCATCTTGCATAGTTGGATTAATATTCTCTTTTACACTCCTTATGATTTCTTCTTTGCTACTTAAATCATGTGATATTGTTAGAATTTGCTCCACTTCAAATTTCTGTGATTTTCCCATACATAGGAGAATTATTTCCTACGTAAATTAACAGTATGAGATTTGCGTTCCTGAGGGGCCAAATGATTTTCAAGAGTGTAAGTAGCATCATTTGCATATATAAAATTAATGTCTAGATAGATGAGCCTCACCTCACGCTAATGTGTAGCCTTCACTTTCAAAACATGGTCTAGGAAATTAGCTCATCTTGTTTAGTGGATGGGACGCTAGGCTTTGCATTTGTTTTAGGGGGGATTTGTTTTTGTTTTACTGCCATGTGTTTTCTTTTTAAATAAAACCTTGCTGATATAAATCTAAAAAAAGAACTTATGTTCTTATGTACTTTGAAACCAATTAAACTGCTTCTGCTCTAAAATATTGACTAGAATAAGTCACTAAATCATGCCAACCCCTCCCCTCCTGAGTCATTGGCCCACTTTTTGTGTCAGTTATCAAATACCTGGGTGAACAGAACATCCCCTCTGTTAACATTATGACTCCACTGGACCCCCGAGGCCAAAGTCAGCAGGTGTTGCTTAATGTTACCAGCTCTGCTGGGCAGGATCAAGGGTGACAGCGGAAATCAGGACGGGGCTTTCCTGCGGGAATTCCCTGCGCTGTATTGCCAAGTTCATTCCAATTCATAGGTTGGGACAAGGACCAATTGTCTCTGTCTCTGCAGTCCTTCACTGGCATTCTTTTTCTTCTAATTTCCCAGGGGAGATGGGCTTCTCTGTCATTATCTGCTGTGATCTGTTACTTCTATTCTTAGTTGTGAATTTCTTTTGATTAGGTGTAGTTAAAAGGCAAGTGGAAGTCTGGCTAATTGAATATTATTTATGTAACTTTCCTGTTCCACATGCTTCAGTTAGTCCAGAGAAGTGGGCTTTTTATTGCACCTTACTGTAGGAAGCGTATGATTTCATGCTTTTTTAAAATGCAGTTTTGATAATTGCCCTTTAAAGAAGAAAAATGCATTTATATCAGTAAAATTAAAAATTTTTTTCTTTTGCCACAGAGAAAAGTTCTAGTCTTTGGAATTTGTCTTACTAATTAAAGTTTGGCCAAATTAATAGCTAGATGAGACAAAGAAGAAATCAGAAGTGAAATATTTCCTAAATAAATTTTTCATGCTTCTTTGAGTGTGCAAAGTGTGGAAAACTGTTGTTCTTATGGTGGTGCCTGTATGGAGAACTTAGTGATTTGACTTTCCTCCATAAAACATCCCTGTTCTCTCTTCTGCCCCCAAACTGTTGAATTCATCTATATAGAATTATATTTATATGATAGGAAATCTGATGTGGGTTTTTATTGTGTGATTTGAAATGTTTTTTTTTTCCTTGTTCATGGATTCAGAATAATATTAAATTTTTGAATTCTTTTAATACATTTTTTATTCAAAAGTTTAATGTTAAGTTGTTGCTGTTGAAGTACGAGAGGACTTTGTAGCATACTTTGGAGAAACTGGCCCACAGAGAAATGACCCCGAGACCCTCACATTGGGCCTGTGAAAGACAAAGGCACCTGCTACCCAGTCACTCTGTGATAAAAAGCTCTTCGTGCTTTGCCCTTATAAATGAAGGGAGAGCAAAAATCACTGTCCTCTCATAGAATGTCTCAAACCATGAGGGAGACCAAGTACCAGCACCTGGAGGAAAGAGGGACTGACTGCTGGAGTGAGTCAATGCTTTTTTTTTTTTTTTTTCCAGTTACAGTTGAAAGAGTTGCTTAAGTAAATCTTCCAGAAAATAGAACAATAGCTAAAACATGAAAAATAAGAACAAACTGAGGACCAATCCTAAAATCTCAACATTCAAAAATGTGGAATCCTTAGGAAAGAAAAATTGCAGAAGAAATTAAACAAGATAGTTTCCTAGACTGACAGAATGATTCCGCTGGGCCTTACCTTGTGTGAATGTTTAGAGACCTAAAATCATGAAATTTTAAAACATTGAAAATTTGTAACCTGAAAGTCTATGAAGAGAGGATTGTGGAGCACCTGTAAGAACTGTGTGGGGGCCTCATCGGTCTCTCTCCTGCCACCCTCTTTGGAAAAGTACCCAGTTCCATGTGCATGTACCAAGGTGAAGCTAAGGAAGATCAACCCCAGCACGTCTCTGATAATCTGAGGTTACATTCTCAGTCCTGAACTCTGCGCCGATTTTTAAAATCTGAACAACTTCCTCAAGTGTTTCCACGGCAACCAGTGGTTGTTTGCTTTATTGGTAGAACCGTAGTCAGGTGTGTGCCCAAGCCTTTATTCCCCTGGACTCTCAAGGCAGGAAGATCCCAAATTTGAGATCAGCCTCAACATTTTACTATTTAGGACTTTTAAAAAATGATTTGCGAATTTCCTTTTCTTAAAATGTAAAGAATAATGTTTTAGGTTTTTTTTTTTTTAACCTGTCAGAGAAATGGAATAATTAGGGCTTGCCGTCAACCTCTTACTCTCTTGTCTTGTTATTTTCTAGAGTTCCTGGAATAACTATTGCTACAGATATCATCTGTGGTTTTCCTGGAGAAACAGATGAGGATTTTCAAGAAACGGTGAAGCTGGTTGAAGAGTACAAATTTCCAAGCCTCTTTATTAACCAGTTTTACCCAAGACCCGGAACTCCTGCTGCAAAACTGGAGCAGGTGCCAGCACAAGTGGTAAGATGTTTCCTCATTAGGTGTTAGTTGGTGCCGATGCAATGCCCACCCAAGGGTCCTGGCTCATGGGGTAACCCTTGAGTTTCAAAATATGAGAATCCCAAGTTGGAATCAGGGTAGGGAGCAGGACCACAGAAGAGTCAAATGACCTTCTGTAACTAAAGATGGCTAAATATCACCTTTTTCTTCGTTTGAGGAGTGAGGCTTAAATATCATCCTGAAAAAAAAAATTAACTATTATGCAGTATTTGCCTGCGTGTATGAGATTGTTGGAGGTTTCAAAATTAGGCAGCATTTAAATATTTAAATGTCTAAATTTAAATATCTAATATTAAACGCAGAGAGCATGAGTTGCAGTAGCCTAGCAGGCCCCAGGTTCCATCCCCATTAACACTCTCTCTCTCTCTCACTCTCACACACACACACACACACACACCACACACACACATACACATACACACCACACACACACACACATACACACCACACACACACACACATACACATACATACCACACACACATACACACACCACACACACACACACACACACATACACAGACACACACAAAAGTTGCAACATTTACGTTGCACTACCAAGACTTATGATGAAGTCATGGTAACCCACTTTGTGTGCTGATGAAAAGATTAACAGAGAGACTGACGTTCCAAGACAGACCCTGACCTGCACAGACACTCAATGTACTATAAAGGTGACCAAGCAGAGAAGCGAGGAAAGAATGAAATTTTTCAATACATGGCACTGGCTCAAGTGGAAGTCCTCTCGGGAAAGCACCACGACCAAGCCCTGGACCTCCTCCTAGTGCACCTCCCGCCACAAGAGGAGTAAGCTCCAGGGAGGCGACAGGTCCAAGGGTGGAAGCTTTCTAGAACAGTCCAAAGGAGGGTCTCTTATGACGCCGTGGAGAAGGACACCGTTTCTTAAACAGAACGCGGACGGCAGGACTCTAACAAGACAGGAGCCTGCACCAGGCTCAAATGAAGACTGTGGCTCTCAGAGCACCAGGAGGAGGGCGTGGACACAGGCCGCAGGGTGGGGGAATCTAGAGTGGCCTCGGCCTGTGGGGAACAGCACCCATGTCACATACAACTCCTGTGAACTGGGTGGGGACAAATCCAACTGCTAGGCACGCAGGCGAGCAGGCAAAAGACCCAAACTGCACCTCAGGGGAAGGTACGCAAGTAGCTAGTAACCTGTGCCCCATACCACAGCCACAGGGGAATGTAAAGCCGAGGGGATGCCACCACGTGTGGACACCGAAACAGCGCTGCCAAGCGCTGCCGCATTTCTATGCCTTGCCATGGGGACTGTAAAGTCACTCAGCTACTTGGGAACTCTATTTGACAAAATCTAGTAAAGTCAATCCATTACATTTCCCATGACTCAGTAATCACACTCCTTGGTAAACACAAAAAAAAACCCTTCTCACACCAGTGGGTAAAAGCAAGAATGTTGCCAGCTGTATCAGTGACACTATTATTTACATGCTGAAAATACCTACTTCCATTTTAATAAGACAGATAATTCATGCTGTATGCAATGGAACACTATTTGCCCATGAAAATGGTTAAGTTACAGCTACATTTAAAAACAGGCTAGATTCACCAATTTAATATTTAGAAAAAAAGTCAAATTCAAACACTGATAAATTCTTCCATTCACATCAAGTTTAAAAACAGTTCAAACCAATTTACAGAGTTAGGATGATGGAAAGTGGCTTGCTCTGGGGATGGAAGAGGAGAGAAATCCATTCACAGCACGACAGGACCCTCTGCCAGCTAGTACAGTTCCAGTGTGAGTGTCTGTGTGTGAGTGTGAGTTTGAGAGTGTGTGTGCGTGGTGCTGGGGATTGAACCCGGGGCCTTGGGCATGCGAGGCAAGCACTCTACCAACTGAGCTACATCCCCAGCCCCTTAACTCTTCTTGAAAATTATTGTACTTATTTCTGTTCCTCTGCTTTTCTAAATTTGTCAAATTTTACTGGAAATTCTGTGGACTTTTATTTAGGATGATGATGATCCTGTTGAGCATTCTGAGAGCACTTAACATGGCATATCAAGCTTTCTGATTCTGAATGAAAATCTCTCTCCATGGATCTTGATCTTCTCCAGCTTGTGTCAGTCATGTTTCAGAGTCATCTGCATACGAGTCTCATAGATCACTGAAAGTCGTTCTCTTTTATATTGTTAAAAGCATTTATTTTCATTTTTGTCATTTAGAATTGGATGATTTAAATGTATTTACCTTTTATTTGTGTTGTTAATTCTAATTGGCTTTCTGGATTTTTAGATTCTATGTATGCTGTTATGTCATCTGATGATTATAGTGTCATTTTAGCCTTTCCAATCCTCAGAATTTTTATTCCGTGTTTTCACTGTGTTGGCCAAAATGGCCAGCATGCTCGCAGATAGAACTGACCACCTTCATCTTGTTCAAACCTGAGGGCAGGGCGTTCCAGCACTGAGTAAAAGTCAGCTGTGGCAGGTTTGGGGTTAGAGAAGTTCCTTTCTCAACCTAGTTTTCTGAGAGTTTGGAGATATTTTATGAAGACTTTGCGCTTTTGTCCATGGAAGGTATTGATCTGTGGTTTCCTTGGAATCTCTTCTTGATTTTGACATCAGAGTAACATTGGCCTCATCAAACGACATGGGAAATATTTTCTCTTCTACGTTTTTCTAGAAGACTCTGCACAGAACTGGTTTATTTCTTCCTTCAATATTTGTAGAGTTGCCTGTTGGGGTGAGCTGGATTCTAAGTTGGCCCCCCAAATTCCCTCATCCCCTTCGCCCCTAGGTCCGTCCCCACATGACCCCACGTGGGACTGTGAATTTGACATCGGTCTGCCCTCCGACTTCTTGGCCTGCCCTCTTGAGATGACTTTTCGGTTTTATGAAGGGAAGCGCGTGTTCGCAGTGGGTTGATTTCTCAGCCGGACCTGCCATAAATATCAGGAGTCCAACAGCCTCTCTTCCTTTTGGGCTCTGTCCTGTGTGGGCTTTGCAGGGCCGGGCCTGGAACCCGGGGCTCACCCACACTGGGCACACACTCATCACAGCCCTGTCCCAGCCTCTGCCCCCTTTTAATCTGTGTTTGCACTTTTATAATCTTGTGTGTGTGTTCTGAAGTAATTTCTCAAGAACTCTGTGGGTCTCCCTGGGTTTCTGTGGGACAGAAGCTGCCCCCACAGGTCTCACTCACACGGCCCCTCCCTGCGTGGCCTGCTGCTTGAGCGCATCTCACTTGGGAGGATTTTCCTCGGGCGCTCTCATGAGATCTGGAAACCTCGACCATCCTCCTCAGAGGTTTTTTTCCTGCTTCATTTTCTCCCATGTCTCCCTCTGGGATTTTAATGGTATATGTTGATATTTTCATTATGTCCCTCAGTGTCTGGTGTGTCTTCTCCCATACTCTCCATACTTGTTCTCTGTATTTCTGTCTGGGTATTTTCTTGTTCCCTGCTAGTTACTTCATATTCAGAATCAATACAACAGCATCTTGGTCCCTGAGGAGCAGCACCAGTTACCACCCAGGAGGCTGTGTGTTATGCAGCTCTCTGTCACTGTGACAAAATACCTGAGCTAATCAACTTATAAAGATGGGGGGTTTATATTGGCTCGTGGTTTCAGATGTTCTTGTTCATGCTCAGTTGGCCCCTCTGGTTTCAGGCTGTGGCTGCACTGGTTACCGTGGTGGGATTGTGTGGCAGAGGAGGCCGTTCACCTCCTGACAGCCAGGAAGCAAGAGAGGAAGAGGGGGATTGGGTCCCCAGGTCCCCTTCAGGGCATCACTCGCAGTGACCTAACTTCTTTTTGCCACCATCTCCCAGTAACATCACAAGATGGGAACCACCCTTTCCACTCATGGGCCTTTCGGTGTGTTCAAGATCCAAACTATAGGAAACTGCTAGAAACTCAGACTCTCGCGCCCTGTCCTGTCCTGTACCTGCTCACTCGTGATCTCGCTCGCTCTCTTTTTTTTTTTTTTTGTGGTGCTGGGGATTGAACCCAGGGCCTTGTTCATGCAAGGCAACCATTCTACCAACTGAGCTACATCCCCAGCCCCATCCCTCCTAATCTTTAATTAAAAATTAATTGAGTAATTAAGTTAATTATTTAATTATTTCATCATTAAAATTTGTGAAGTGCTGTTCTAATTCACTAATCCTTTCTTCATTTGCTTTGGTCTGCTGTCAAACGCACATATAGAATTTCTAATTTTAGTTAATTTACTTTTTTGAGGGGTGGTAGGTACTGGTAATTGAACCCAGGGGCACTCAACCACCAAGCCACACCCCCAGACCTTATTTGTATTTTATCTAGAAACAGGATCTCTCTGAGTTGCTTAGTGCCTCACTTTTGCTGAGGCTGGCTTTGAACTCACTATCCTCCTGCCTTGGCCTCCCAGGCTGCTGGGATTACAGGCATGCACCACTGCGCACAGCCTTACTTTTTGCTTCTAGGTCTACAGTTGGATTATTTTTCAAGGATTCCAGGGTTCTGGTGAAATTCTTTTTAATGTCCTGTTACATCTTGCACCTGTGACTCAGTTATCCAAAAGTGCATTCTGCAGTCTCCGGTAGCTGCATCTAAGTTTGATTTGTTCTATTGTCTTTTTCTTTTCTTGATCTTGATCATCGGTCTTCTCTCTCTCTAGTAAATTTTTTATTGACTAATGATTGTGATTTATAGCACAAAACAAGCACCAAGCCATTTGGGTTCCAGACCTCACTGTGTCCTCTCTGAGGCAGGGTTAGTGTTACCTCTGTGGGAGGTCAGGCCCGAGTTCTAGTCTGAGACTGCCCCCTCTATTTCGGATGAGCCCACGGGCCCTGAGTGTTTTCTCAGTTCCTAGCTTTTGCTCAGCTGCTCCGCTGCTCAGTGACAAGGCCACTTCCACAGGATAAATCTCTAGAAGAGAAAAGGGCTGCACTTATTGAACGCTCCTTCCCCTTCCACCCCATTCCCCTTCTGCTCCAGGC